ACAGTTTTCTTTTTTTTATATCTCTCTCTCTCCCTCTGTAATGTTGACGTCGGGACTCCTTTTTTATTTTTTTATTTTCATCCGATAAATTATTTACAAGCAAGGTGCATTATTCACGCAGCGTCACGTTACCACACACACACACACGGGTGGTGCCAGGCCTGGTGTTTGCCCACGGGGAGTCATGGTTGCATCGGGCCAGGCGGGCAACGAGTGGCATTTAGGCATCGGCAGAGAACTAGCAAAGGCTCAGGGACCCGTGTAGCTTAAGGGCCCCCCCACCCCCTAAATTATAAAATACAAGGTGCTTCAAAAAAATGTTAATAATTACATGGGACTATCGTTTTTCATGGAAAAAGAATGGTTAAAGCGCTGTAACAGGGTAACAAATGTATGTTAATAGCTTCAAAATTCTAAATTTGAAGCTTTCGTGACTGCAAGGATTCATACTCTTAGGTTTTTTTTGGTAAAGTCACGTAGGTAAAAAATTTTAATTAAAAATTATTAAAGGTAATAATAGAAATAAAATAAAATAATGAATCACTATTATTACTTTTCGTAATTTTGTATTTTATTTTTTTACCTACGTGACTTTACCGAAAAAACCCAAGAGTATAGCTTCAAAATGTCAAAGAGTCTCCACTTATTCGCCATCATTGTCAACACGTGCCTGGAATCTTCTCCAGGTGGTCTCCAGAGCCCGGAGGCACAGTTCTTGTGGTGTTGTTACAAATTCTCAGAAGTATTAAAAATATATATTTGAAGTACTCTGTATATGGGTTTCATGAAATATCCGCTCAACTTCAAATCTTCAAAACGTAACGAGCGCATTATAATTCAAAAGCCATTTTTTCTTTAAATCTCTTGTCATTCCTACGGTGTCGCTGCATCTTTCTTCTCTCATCCCCACCACATCTCTATACGTTTGTTTGCATTTCTCTTATATCGCAATATCTCTATCTCTTCTGTCAGCTCGCTTGGGAGCATATAAATTGAAAAGGGAGGGGGCCCTCATTACACAGCACTATCTTTGGGCTAGCACACCGCCAATAACACAAAAAACCTCTACTATGGTTACATTTGGTCGCGAAAGTCTACTACGTTTTGAACAGATTTCAGATTGTTATTTTACATTTTGTAAACGCGCCAGCAGCTGATCATACATTCACACTTGACCGGCGACCTGAGTTCGACTACGACCTACGGATAATATCGGAATCAAGCCTGCGGCACCCCTGCTTTCACTGCCCCCTCCCCCCACTCTCCCACTGACCAGCTTGGTGAAGTATAGTCAACCACTCCCCCTCCCCCCCAGCATTCGTGATATGGTGTCGGGGGTCCTCCAATCAGCAGTGGGTTGACAAGTAAGAATAACTCTAGATTTGAAGCTTTCGTGACTGCAAGGATTCATACTCTTAGGTTTTTTCGGTAAATTCACGTAGGTAAAAATAAAATTAATAAAAGTATAAAATTATTATATTATTTTATTATTTTATTTTATTTCTATTATTACTTTTATTAATTTTAATTTTACCGACGTGACTTTACCGAAAAAACCTAAGAGTAAGAATAACTCATCATCGTCATCATTAATATTATTCGATTCCAGATATATGCAACCGCTGCAGGTTCTAAGAAAATTTATTGGCGTGGCTTGTAAGAGATGAGATGCTCGCCGATTAACGTTTCGATATGACGCAAAGGTCCGTTAGCAGTGGAGTCCAAACGGAGGCTTCCAATTCGCCACTCTACCACCGTCGTCCACGATACGTTGCAGCGTTACACGTGCTGCTCACCCACACGACAACAGTCGTGAAGGATGGCAACCCCCATCGCGGCTGATTGGCCCCCCGACTTAATTGCCCGTTGAAGCGGTGGCGCAGTGATCATGTCACCACGCCACGACTCCGGCGGACACTCTTAGATTACTGGCCACGGCTAACGTCAGTGGCGAGTTGTATGTGAACTGGTCCTGGACCCCAATTCGCCCCCCCCACCGCCCCGTCACTAACCCACAATGACCAGGGCGGCGAAGTATGGTCAAACGACACCCATGATCGATACGGTGTAGATCGGCCTCCGCACCGCAGTAGATTGACAAATGTGGCAAAACATTAAATCATTATGACTAGATGGATATATATGGATATATACATTTGGCCTATGTGTGGTGCATACATTGGACATTACTCTAGCATGGAACTGTGGGCGATAGCATCGCCACAACTATGTACATGAAGCAATGTGCTTATGAGCTGACAGAAGTGGTGAAGCTGAGCAGAAGTCAATTGAGATGCACAACCCTCCCCGCTCTCCAACGCGTGTTCTAATATCTGCATGTCTCGGGTCTCTGTACCTTAACCCGAACAAGCACGTAGCAATTCATCATCATCAGCCGTGAGCTATCCAGGACTGGACGAAGGCCGCCCCCCCCCCCCCCCCCCAATATTATTGGAGGGAACAGCTGATAGTACGACACCACGCCGGTCAGTACGAGTTGGTGAAGATATACTAAATGAATGTCAGTTATGAATGATAACAACGCAATAATACCAATAATAACGATTTGCTTACCCCATGAAAGGCGCACTGAGTCTCAAGGCTCTATCGGAGGAGGGTCCTGCATTGAGATGTTTGGCCAATTCCATGCACGAGTGCTTGGGCATGTACGTACTGTATGTATGGTGAACTTATTTACGTAGCCAACCGTGCGAATCGGAGGTGCGGGGGAAGGCATGTGGCAGTACCCGGCGAAAACCCACCAAAAAACACGTGGCGGGGGGGGGACAGCACTCAAAGCTCAACGCAAGATAAACAAAAACATTTCATCACCGTGCTGACATCACATGGCCATCACCGCAGCCCACGCCTACACAACACCTCGGGTGTTCCCAGGCGGTCTCTCATCCAAACACGAGCCAGCCTCAACGCGGACTCAGCTTCTAAGATGCGATGAGGTTCGCGAGAGATGGGGGGGGGGGGAGATTGAGAGAGCGATGGGGTGGATGGCTCGACTCGAACTAACCCGATCGAAACCACGAACCCACGACCCCATTCCTCTCTCGTTGCACGGTGGGCGTTAAAGACCGCTGGCTTCATCTTTTTTTTTACGTATGTATCGTGGAACTTTTTTCACACCGTACGTAGCCAACCGTGTTAATCGGAGGTGCGGAGGAAAGGACAACAAATTGGGCTTCGAGCTGGCGGTACAGCGAGTGGGTCTGGGCAACCATATGCCTGCTCACTCCTTTTTGTTGTACTCATTGACATGTAAATTTTGTCTCTAACCCCTCCCTCTCGCTGCCTCCGTCCCCCTCTGTCTATTTAAGGCCACCGCACAGAGACGATCACCCCTCTCTGTACCTGTGTTGCCCGCTGTGTGTATCTTGGTGATATCTGTCTGCTTATATGTCTGTCTATAATTTTTTCTGGTTAGATTTTATGTCGCTATTTCATTATACCTGATGATGATTGCTTGTGTTGCAATCGAAACGTCGTATGTTATTATTTAATTTATTATTTTTTCTTTATACGTGACTTTACCGAAAGAACCAAAGAATAATTCCTGCAGTCACGAAAGCTCCAAAGCTCCAAAGTTAACATCTGTGTGGACCTTCGGGCGTGACCCCACCCTCTCTATCCCACGAAGAACTGCACCTCGCCGTGGCGTCGCACAACATCGACGCCGCCCGTCTCTAAATTACGATCGCCCATTGCGTGCCCTTGCAAAATAACGAATCTCGCTGGGATGACACGTGGCCTGCATAAGGCGCACCAACAAATCCATCACGCAGAGTCCCTACAGTATGCACGTGCATATTTCTCACAGGTAAAAAAGAATAATTGGAAATGCATCGTTAGCAGTGAATGTTCAGATGAAATACGTAGGAACCCAGCATGATAATCACCCATATCAATCCACTGCTGGAAAAAGGCCTCCCAAAAACGATGGCGATGCTAAAATAATCGAGAGGGCATCACGGGCGATGCCATCGAAGTTATCACACTTCACCATCACCTCTTTCCTTCTGCTAGATCCTGCAGTTGTTGCAAAGCCAATTCTACCGTAAGGTATACTCCTATAGTGTATGATAGTTCTTGATTGTGGAGGACTCAATTAGTCTCGAGCCTCTTTCAACGTACCTCCTTCTAGGCATCTTGGGTCGCTGGCGCGCGCCTGTGACCCAGTGCTTTCGGAGGCGAGGGGTGATGGATTACACCGAGATTTGTAATTAACGCCCAACACTTATAGCTGGAAATGGCAGTACAGCAAGTGGGTGTATGTATCCATCTGTGTGGACCTTTGAGCGTTACCCCCCCTCCTCCTCCCCCCATTCCACGAAGGAAAACGCCTCATTTATAAACACACACACGTGCATCAGCCAAACATCCCCAATGTCGCAGCACCCTTCTCAAGCACAGCCTTGAGGTTCGGCGATTTTTTTACATTGCAGATAATTAGCACATTCGATGAGCACGGTGGGCTACGTGCGGTGCGAAAGAAGGTCAACATGCACGCAACAAAGACAAAGATCCCCCGTATAGCCTTAACAGACTGTTGGGGCAAGTGCTGTTAGCGAGCACCTATGAAGGCCGGTACGGCACACGAGGGGGTGGGTGGCCATCAACCACGCCCGGCCGCCTTTGTCTCCCTAGTGGCGATGTTTGCGCAGCGCACCAGGTACTCATTTGAGGCTGAGTCAACCTAGGGAGGGGAGCTGGACCGGTTCAGATAATCGTCACTGGTGTTGGCCATGAGCGGGAATCGAACTCGGGGCGCCGGGTTCGTAGTGCAGCGCGCTAACCGCTACACTACCGCTCCCCACACACACACACACGTGCTCACACACACACACCTACATAAACAGCCGTGCCTCCGGACGTTTCTACCAATTCGCTCTGACCGAGAGCGCGCGCGGCACCTCCGTGGCGCCCCCCCCCACCCCCCCGCGTGATCTGCGCGACACGAACCCGAACCTCGCCCCCCTCCACCCACCCACCTTTGGCGATGAGATCCTCGATCTCGTCGTCGAAGCCGTCTCGGTAGCACTTGCTCCACAGCCCCATCTCCGTGGAGTTGGCCTGGCGCACGCAGTCCGGGTCCGGGACTCCTCCCGGCCCGAACACCTGGCGCCTCCTGCGCGCGCTCGACGCCTGCACGCGCGGACCCCCGCGGGCAGCCGCGCCGACCCCCAACGCCGCCGACGGCGATGCTGATAATGACGATGACGATTGCGGTGGATGATGACTGTGGCTGCTGCTGCTGCTGCGGCGGCGGCGGTGGCGTCTTCTCAACGAACACTGGCGGCGGAGGAACATCGCCGGTTTCCCGTCTACGACTGTGAGTCGAATCATCCCGGACGAGCCAGCAGCAGCAGCGGCACCACCGGCACCGCCACTGTCTCGACGGATCGCGGCGCGTCTCGCCCGGAGCGGAGCCGGCTGCTGCTGCTGCCTCGAGTCGCGGGGCCTCTCGACTCCCGCCTCTGCGTCGCTCATCTCGGCGGTAGCCGTTGCGCGCGGCGCTCGCTCGCTCGGGCGAGTTTGGCCTGCGGCGCACCACCTGCACGAAGGGGCTCTGGCGGAGGGGCAGGTTGTTGTTGGACGTGTAGATGTAGCCCGGGTCGCGACGCTTCGTGCCGTAGCTGCGGCAACGCTCGCGGTGGCGGCGCGCGTCCGTCTCGTACCAGTGGTCGGTGCAGAGCGCGGCCGCCAGGAGCCCCAGGGCGCACAGAGCGAGCGCCAAGCCCGCGTACAGCAGCAGCCTCACCGCAGCCATGGTCGCCGAGTGTCGAGAGGCATTCGGGCTGGCTCGCCCCGAGCTAGCAATCGTTGGAATGATGATTATTATTTGCTAGACCCCCCCAACACCCCCCAACGATAACGACGAAAGGCGACGACGATGATGACGACGACGAGAAGGAGGAGCGTTTTGCTGCAGGAGCAGCCGCCGCGTTCGGATGGAGCGTCGCTTGCGGGGGAGCCACGAATTGCGCGCTCCTCCTCCCTCTCCCTAACGCTCCCGTCGTGCCGAGAGCTCCTCGCCCTGACGATGCTGTGAGCGCGCTTGACCTCTGCAGCAGCAGCAGCCGCAGCAGCAGCAGCTTTCACCGTCCGATCGCATCGGGAGTCGGGATGAGTCGCGGCTACGGCGCGGAGAGACGCTGTTCTGATGCTCCGAGTCGATGCAGCGTCCATGTTTCGCGCACCATCATCATCGTAATTGCCACCATCATCATCATTATCCGTAGAGACAGAGAGAAACGAGGAGGGGGGGGGGAGATAGGGATCGAGCAAACGAGAGATGGAGCCGTCTGCTTTCAACCTGCGTGGGAGCGCCGCTATGCGCGCGCGCCACCACCACCACCGAGTGGGGAGGGATACGAGGAGGAGGGAGGGAGAGGAGGGAGGGGAGGGAGGGAGCGAACTGCGTGGGGTTGGGGGATGGATGGAGCAGTGATGTCATCCCTCCTCCTCGAAGAAGATCGATACGTGGTCATGCAGCCTCGGCTCCCTTGGACGCTCACCAACCATCTTCCCCCCCACCCACTCACTCACCTACTCACCCAAATACTCAGCCATTCACCCACCAACTCACTCACCTACTCACCCAATCACTCAGCCACTCACCCACCAAGTCACTCACCTACTCACCCACCCACTCACTCACTCACCCACTCACTCACCCACTCACTCACCCACTCACTCACTCACCCACTCACTCACCCACCAACCCACTCACCCACTAACTCATTCACCTACTCACTCACTCACTCACCCGCAATAATAAAGGAAACGCCAGGTATCATATTCTGGCGCGCGAATAATCTGCGAAACCGATCATTTATTTTTTGACCCCGGTCTGTCTCATCCAGCAGTGGATTGATCACATGGCTGGACGTGTATATGAAGGGCTTCATTTCTCCTGGAATATTTTGGAGGGCCCCCAAGGGAGAATTGGGGGGAGGGGGCATAGACCGGGGGTGAGGGGGGGGTAATATTTCTTGTGCTCAGCCGCGGACAGCTCCGGCTGAAAGGAATTTAGTCTCTCTCGTTCTACGGACATAGTTTGCTGTGAGCCCGCCTGCGTCCCTTTAGAGGCCAAATTAACATTCTGCACGAAAGCAACGTGGAATCGCCGCTTTAAATTACGCGAATTAAAAATGCGGGCAGCCTTGCGGTGTCCACGGTTCCACGGCAGCACGTGCGAATGGCAACAAAATGCAATTTCACGTACCGCTTTTACATTAGCAGGTGCAGCATCCGGGGTCTTAATTGGTGATTAGTTACACATTAATTAGGGGCAAGAGCACCTTAAAGGCAGAGCGCCGAATCAGCTGGAATGCGGTCGATCTCCATATTGTCGCGTGCGATTAAAAAAAGAAACATGTATTTAAAAATGTTTTTTGTATCTATAGTCTTGTTGATTCTCCTAAAATCGATGTTAACCGTGGTATTTGTTTAAACAAGCAAACCGAATTGGCTGAGAACTTCTGGCTTTCATCAGCATCGTCGGGCCTGCTCAAATAAAGTGGTTTAAGGGACGTATATCGATAAGAGTTTCGTGTTGAGCGGTTTTCTTTTACTGGTAGGAACCTCCTGGTTCCACCAGCCCACAGGGGATTATTGTGTCCGTCCGTTCGTCGTGCGGGGAGGGGCTGGGTGGGGAGGGTGGGGCTGGGTGGGGAGGGGACGGTGGGGAGGGGCTGGGTGGGGAGGTTGGGAAGGGGCTGGGTGGCGTTGGGTGGGAGGGGTGGGGTTGGGTGGGGAGGGGCTGGTCACCCCGTGGTGCCCTTATAAAACTCAACGTTTAACCTACTCACGCCGGCTTGTGCCCGCCCTCACAGTCGGGCATACATTTGCGGAATACACCACTCCGCCGTTGACCCTGGCCATTGACCTAGCAACCCAACGTTCCTACCAGCTCCCTCCGCAGGAATGTGATTTTTTTTGTTACGCAGCGAAGAGAGAGAGACCGCGAGGGACCGCCCGCCACGGAGGCCGGGCGATGTTGATCAGCTGACGGTGCAGGATTGGCGTGTTGCCGGTCGCCCTTCGTCCAGCAGTGGATCGACCGTGCCTGCTGACGGCGATTGCCCATCGGAAATTGAGGTTCGCTTTTGTTCTTTTCCCCGTGTGCGGTGCGTTAGGGAAGTGCGTTTGTTAATTGCGGTGCTGGTGAAGTGTTATCATTTTCAGCCCGCAGTCAAAATTAATTGTGCGAGTTGCAAGCCCTGTGGTCTAATTGATGGTGCTACTCAGAATTACCATTTCTGCACATCACGGGGCAAGCTGCTTCTTCTGTTGGCTGTGTTTACTGGCGGCACGCGAACACGCGTGAGCCTACACACACCCGAACACTGCTTCCAGTGATCACTCTATCTCCACGTAAATATGAACAAAATATGGTTCAATCGTAAAATGTTTTTTTTTACAAGTATATATATTTTAAAGTAATTATTCACGCGTTGTCAATCCACTGCTGGATGAAGGCCTCTCTTATGCCGTGTCGATCACGGGGGTTGTTTCACCATACTTCACCACGTTGCTCACAAGCAGCGGGGAAGAGGAAAAGTCTTGGAGCGTGGAATTGCTGACCGGCCCATACTGGACGTCTGTGAAAAAGAGCTTCATAGCTCATCGGATTCCTCCCTCCAGTCTAAATCAAGATTCTGATTCCGAACAGCGGAAAGGGTTCTCAGCAGTCGTGCGAACGGCCAAAAGGAAATTCCAGACAGTGTCCCGGAAGGCAGCAGCAGAGAAGGAGCGACCTCCCACCGAGCACAAATATCCATTCGCGTCGTTGTGGAGAATATAACAAAATACTCGAGCAGACAAAGTCTCCTTCATATACCCGTTTCTCCACGTAATATTAAAACATATCTTGCACAACGCACTGCCCCGCCGCACGGCCTTCATGGAGCGCATACATTCATCAGCAGTCGATTAAAAATAAAATCTGGACCGGTTTTGACATGCAGTGTCTCATCAGCGGTCAGACTTGCTCGAACCAAAGCTGGTGGGTGAACTGCCAGATCTTGACGGCGTAGGTCCCGTAGTTCGACGCACAATTACTCCTACAACATAAAATAGTCGTGAGCGTCATTGTGTTGGAATGTAAATAACACAATAAATACGCTGAGTACGACGTCTCTGTCCTTCATACATCCGTCTCTGCACATAAAAAGCGGTGTATTTATTAGACGCGCTGAGCAAAGGTTGACCGGAAGGATTTTCGTCAGAATGCTGCCGTTGCCTAGGAGAGCCAAACGGACGTGAATGGGCCCCACGCTCTCGCAGAGGACATCGGTACGAACGCCGTCGAAGATTTTAAGAGACACTTCCCTGCTGATCTATAAATGTATTTCTAAATGACACCTCGGCCTGGCACCGTACAAATGCCCCAAGTCATCACTCGCGAATTCTGCACAAAAGGGTCTGTGCGGTGCATGCGATAAACTTCATTAAATAGACGGAGGAGGGCACAGCTCCGCATACAAAGCAGGTGAGCTGCAATGCCACTTTCCCTGTCGCGCGTCTACGCACGCGACAGGGAGGCTAAATACATTCATCTTCATTCACCGCCGCCGCCATCAGCAGTAGCAGCAGAAGACATGGTCTATCCACCGCTGGACGAATTCTTCCCCCAAGAGCCAGTCGGCCACCTCTCGCACAGTCGTCCCGCGATTGCGATAAATCCGTCCAGATCCATCGCGCGCCACGCACGTGGTGATGATCGTTTTCTCGCTTTCCATCTCCGCAAGCAGTCGTCGTTTACTCGTTTCACACGTCGTCTTATTCTTCTTCCACGCGTCTAGTCCCACTCACGGTGGAGGTGTTCCGCTGCCCTTGCCAACCTTCTCCACGCTGACGAGGCCTGCGCCAACTCTCGTTCCGCACCTCGAGCCACCGCGTCCGATCGCACCGCATCTCCCCCACCCCCCACCTCTCCTTCTGCTTATTATTCATTTCTTTCCTTCCACTTGCATCACTTGCCACCTTCTGACCCACATCGTTTCCCTGTCGCCTTTTCTCTCTCTCGTCTTCTCTGTGATTCTACCACCTTGAGTCTTCCTCTCGCTTCTTCATCTCGCTTCTTCATTTCTCACCCCCCGTGTCCTTCCTTGTCAAACCGCAACATCCATCGCAACATACTCATCTCTGTGACTGCCATTGCTTGGTCCTCCCTCTTTCCCGTGCCCCAGCACTCGGCCCCAATACAACAGCACCGGCCTCACCACCGTCTTGTACTACCCACTACACTATACACTACACACTTTTTCCTCCAACCAAACCTCTTATCGCACACCACACCAGTCATCTCTCGACATTTCAGCCATCCAGCCCTTATTGCCCTTTCAGACGCGTTCAATGCCCAATGCGTCACGAGTACGATGTCGCATATCCGACTGTCCGTGGGGGACCGAGATGTGCGAGCGAGTTAAGCGAGCGCCGATAGAATAGTGACCATGCCCAAAGCCACACGCCGATTTCAGCGCGGGCCATACGCTCTGTTTACTATTGTCGAAGAACGAGGCTGTACGCGAGAATAGGAAGATCTATTCTCGCGGCTGACTCGTTCGAGTTGATTACTTTTCTTTACGGAATTCGACTTTCTGCAAAAGCTGAAATACCCGCGCTACCGCGAAATGTCATTCACATTCAGAGCCCCCCTACAGCCAACATCCACTAAGGAATCAAACAGAATGGAGAATCAGAATCGGAATATTTATTGACACTGGAGGAATCTGATGAGCTATGAAGCTATTTTTCATAGATGTCCAGAGAGCCTGGGCGTTCAGTGGAGCACGTGCACAAACAGGGGGGGGGGGGGGTGTAGAGACAGCAAACCTCACCAAGGCTGTCATTAGCGCTGCCCTAAAGCAGAACAATAAACACAAACATATTTATAAAAAAATTATATCTTAGCTGGTTGGTGTTTCAGACCTAGAGGCACAGCCTATAACTAAATCACACAGAATTCGCCCGGTCACGTCACATCTCGGAAACAAAAGCAGATGTTGAGTCTGGATGGGCGATGGGGGGGGGCGACACGGTAGGATAGTTCAGCAAAATTAACAATTGAACTGCATCTTGACTTAAAGCTTTCGTGACTGCAGGAATTCATATTCTTGGGTCTTTCGGTAAAGCCACGTAGATCGGTTCAAAGAAAATAATGTAGTAGATTTTTGTTATTTTTTGTTATTTTCTTTGAATCTATTTACGTGACTTTGCCGAAAGACCCAAGAATATAATTGTCCTGCACTTTCATGCTACCGCATCTACGCACAGCATTATCGACGGACAATGCTACGGAGCAGTCTAAATATATGACAGTTTTCAAGATTGGTTTTTAAT